ACATTAATGACAGGCAGCGCGTTTATTAGGCTGCTGTCTCTTTAACACAGAACGCACCCAGATCTAAAAATACTGTACATGTGTGTTTTCCTTCTCATCTGTTTATGTTAAAGTAAGACAAAAACGGCTGTGTTTATGATGTTATACTGATGTAGTTTTCTGCATATTGGTCGACAAATATGAAAGAAGTCAGTTTCGGCCCGGAACAACCTTTTCTACAGTGGAAATACACGGAACGGCTCGAGAATGGACACAAGCCGGGAGAAATACACGGAACGGTTCGAGAATGGACACAAGCCGGGAACCCGTACTGCGACCTCTGTTCTCTGTGCTCGCGCTTGCGCTTTGTGTGCGCTGCACGCAAACAGGGCACAAGTTCTTTCCGTTCCTGCACTTAAATAGTTTTTAATCACATTAAAATGCGAACGCAGGAATCCTTAAGCAGAATCGAAATGCACGCGTCTTATCGAATACCCGGTACTTGGAAATTTGGAACCGGTTCTAAAATAGCCAAATACCCAACACTATAGTTCTGAGACACTGCTTATGATTAAAAAAAAGGAGCAGGTGGATTTTTATCATTATTGTTGTATACACACACTGCCAACACACTCTCACCTTTCTCTCCTTCAGGAACGACTCGCACAAGTTTTTTAACACAAGATTTACTGGAGGATCATGATTTGACAATCTCCTGCAGACAGGACACTCCTGAGTTTCCTTGGTTCTCCAGAACTGTTGAAGACACTCTTTACAGAAACTGTGACTACATGATAAAAGAACAGGAGCCTTAAAGATTTCATGACACTCAGGACAATAAAGTTCTTCTGCAGATACATTTAGTGAAGCCATTTTCACTATTTGAGCTCCAGCAAACTTTACTTTCACTTTCTGACCAATGGTTTCAAAAATGAAAAACCATGAGAATCACAAAGATCTTCTGTCTGTTCAGAACCAAACTCCTCAAAAATCCTTCTTGGAAGTGTTTTTCTTCCTTCTCCACTGATCAATAATTAGATTTTGCTTTGTTGAGACACTGAAAATCCATTTGACAGAAAGGAGAAAAAAAGTCAATCTCTTCCAGGGCAGGGTTTGTAAGAAGGTGGAGTTTGTAATCACTTTTGGCTGTGTTAAAAGAAGTCAGATAACACCACTAGATTTTTTTCCAGGTTACATTTAAACAAAATCCATTTAAAATTAACAATAACATTTGCAATTGATTTAGTTATTGTTTTTTTTATTTGTCACATAGTTTCTCCGGGGTCTGCCCTGTTGAGAAATCCAGCATGAATTCCACTCTAGTCCAGGCTTCTTTATGCTGGTTAGTGCTGGTATAGAGCTGTCTAGCTGGTGGACCAGTGAAGTCATTCTCAAACAAAATGGAGCTGGTGAAGCTGGTTCACCAGCATGGCCTTGCAGTGTTGAGTGGGAGTAGTCCAGTTGTCTTTACACAAGCAATGTGTTTGGGGACAAACATAATTTTTACCAGCATATTTCTATATTTAATGTATTAAGGATGTAAAAACCATATAGGATTTAAATATGATTTATTGTAATATATAACAATAACTTATAGTAATTACTTTTGCTCCCTCTGTTAACAGTAGAACTGAAAGAATTTGTTGTTTTAGTTATGTTTATGTTATTAATCAACATTATCTGAATTTCTGAATAACAAAGTAAAAATTAACTCTAGTGAAAGGTTTCAAAGGATATAATGTATCTTGTTTCAAAGAATCTGTACACAAATAAGTTAAAATCCGTTAAAAAAGAGCTTGTATACATTACAAAGCAAAAACATTTAGAGATATGAAAATGAAGAAAAATGGCAAATAACAGCATTATCACAAGCACTTTGTTCAATAATAGGGGTTATGAGAAGTGCTAATAAAGATAACTGAAAGTTACTGTTTTTAAAGACTTTAATGCTGATTTTGGAACTGATGTGTCAAAATCCAGCTGTCAGTCACTGATTCCAAAAAGTAAGTATCGCTTTTTATTTCTCTTTCCTACTACTTGTTTCACTTCTGTTTCAGTTTTTTATAACCATTTCTTACGTGTCAGTAAGTTGTTGTTATTTTAGCATGTGTGTTTGGCTCAGTGTTATTTTTTTAGGATTACTGATAAACTAATGTAATTTGATTTGTATTAGTTATCTATTTTAGTTACAGTTGTAGTAATGTTGTCATTTTATTAGTTTTTTTATTATGTCTATATAGGTTTTTATTAAGTTTTAGTTTTATTTAATTTGAGTTATTTCAGTACTTCTATCTATCTATATAAATATATATGTGTGTGGCTGTACATACACACATGTAGTTTTTTTTTGGTGTTTGGCTTCGTGTTATGTTAGAATCATTATTATACTCATACCTTTTGTTCTTTTAATATTTTGAATTGTTTTTAGCTTTATTTTTTTGTTTTCATTTAAATGTTTAGTTTTGAAATGTTGTTGTATGCATTTGTCATTTTATTTAATTTCTTTTATTTTCTTAAGTGTGTGTGTATGTATGTGTATATATAAGTATTTATAGAGTTTTAATTACTTTTTCTTATTTGTAAGTCGCTTTGGATAAAAGCGTCTTCTAAATGACTAAGAGTAAAGTAAAAGGTATGTCATTGCATTCAGGAGCATGGAATATTGTGGTCAATAGAGATAGCATGCACTTTTAACAGTTGCTAAAAGCAATATATTGATTCAACTACTGTCAAGGGCAAAGTGCCCAACTAGAGGGAACAATATAGTCACTATAATTGTGATTTTAAACAGATTTCAACAACTTTTATACATGTACCACAGGAAAGAAATTAAGCCAAATGGTTTAAAATAAAGTGTGAGTGAATCTGCTTTATTTCACTAACTGCAACACTGCTTCAGTGTTATGTTTACTCTCTATGGATTGGGACCATATGAAAACTGAGCAGTTAATTTAATGCTGAGGATTTTGCTGTGCCAATAAACCTGCATCATGTGTTTTTCTTAAATAATTTATTAAAAGTAATTGGATAACTGGTCTTTATTTAACTATGAACACACACTAAGAAACGTGATATGTAACACATATTTGAGTTTTGTTGTGGTTTTGCTGGGATCATACCAGCACACCAGCGTCCCATACTGATCCCAGCATACAAAACATATCTTACGCTGGTGACTAGCAATGCTGTAATTTTTTTTTTTTAGATGGGTGTCATGATCACATCTATAGTTGTCCAAAATAATGGAGAGTGTGGTAGAGAAGTGGATAAGAGAGTTCAGGCAGAGTGCAGAAGAGAGTCAGGAGTGATTTCTGATAGAGGGGTATCTTTAAGAGTGAAAGGGAGAGTTTACAAGATGGCAATGAGACCAGCTCTGTTGTGTGGCTTAGAGGCAGAGGCAGTGGCAGTGGCAGAGCTGAAAATGCTGCGATCACTGGGAGTGATTAGGATGGACTGGATTAAAAATGAGCATACTAGGCTGTTTGACTAAATTTTTTTTTTGACAGAACGGAATTAGTTGCACACGACTGAACACAAAAAACAGCAAAATTTGCACTTCAGTATTGTATATTGTAAAACAGTATGCAATAATAACGTATTGAGCGTAGATTATCATTTTTATTGAATTGGATTAAATGGATGCCACCTTATTAGGACAAACCCGGCCTACACCTACCCTTAGCACTACCCAATTTACCAGGGGTCTCCAACCCTGCTCCTGGAGAGCTACCATCCTGCAGATTTCAGCTCCAATCCCAAATTAAACACACCTAAATCAGCTAATCAAGGTTCAGGGTTACTTGATAATTACAGACAGGTGTGTTGGAGCAGGGAATTGAAGTCTGCAGGATGGTAGCTCTCCAGGAGCAGGGTTGGAGATCCCTGCAATAAACACTCTATCATTAAATACCTGTGCGAGGCACTTTATTTCCACTTTTTGAATATGTCCTTCACATTTATTGAAAGTAAATACCTTTCCGATCTGAGACTAACTTCAAGATGGCAGCACATGCACAACATAAGGCTCAGTGTTTCTCTGGATTTTGCAAATTGTTTATTATGTAATGAAATTACTCATTTGTAATTGTAGGGAATTAATTATTATTAATTCATTCAGGTTTTGAAAGGACTCGAATCTGAAAAAGTCGAGGTCCACCTGATTAAACTGATTTTTAATCTAAATGGTTTACACCCTATCAGCTACTCGGCCAGCAAGAAGATGTCAGTGTATATTACCAATTGAATATGTATTTTATGTTCTCCCTGGCCATGGAATAACACAATTATGATAATTTGTCAGCTCTTAGAGAGGTAACGTTGATCTTGGCAAAGTTTTAACCTTGAAATTATATGACACCAGACGATGATTATTTATAAATGAACATGAATTTGATTGGCTATTCCAGATTACATCAAAACTAGGCTAAAACATAAACATACACACACACATATACAGTTTCTTAGACTGAGAGTTGATGGAGTTGCATGACGTTCAACTTCTAACTCGTTTCACGAGCGATTTAAATTCACCTGAGAGACTTCCCAAAGCAGAGAATTTGTCTTAATTGTACTGCTTAAATTAGCTGGAAACCAGTTCAGCAGAGATAAGATTTTGTTTGTTACTTGCGTTCTGCTTGGTTTCCTGGATGTCTGCTGAGGGAACCCTGTTGCTGATTGGTCGCTGAGGTGACGTCGGAATGACGTCCTTGGGAAAAGCCCTCCGGAGTTTGGTTGGCTTCTTTATGACGCGGAGGCTTCAGCAGTTTTGCTACAGTCTGAGTTTGCATTAAGTTCTTTGAAGATTGTGTTTCTCTGAAGTGTTTGAGTTCTTAGATGGTCTCGCTTGTGCAATGTTACGGCGTGGGGCGCTTTGTCGCGCTCACCAAGGTGAAAGCCAAAGTTCTTTACAGTGAGAGAGCGAGCCCCGAGCAAGAGCGTTGCGTCCATTTTACGCAGGCTGACCTTTGGTCCGCCCCACGACGCGATCTTCCAATCGGACGCTGTTGCAGGGCTTAGCCACGCCCTGTGTGGTTCTTTTTTTTCATGCACAAGTCACATGCTCCGTGGGGCGTATTTCTGGAAGTTTTAAATACCTTCTGATAAAAGTATTATCACCAGAGAATGATACATAATATAAAAGTTTCACTAACACCAATGTTCGGCGAATAAGACAAGCTTTCACCCGATATTAAACTTCACATCTTTTACACGCATATTAAATGCTTTGTCTGCTAAAAAGAGTTATAAGGCAAATATTAAAAAGATCATAGATTCCAATAAACACATCACACATACGTATATATATACGGCATAACACATGCAGTGGATACATTTTCACTACTTTTTAAACGATTTATCTTTTACAATCGTCATGCAAGGTTCTGTTTCTTTTGTTGTAACATAAGGACGCGGGTCCGTTGGGGTTTCAGGCAGGGCAGGAAGTAGGTGGTCACAAGACATGTGACAGTCATGCATTGATATCCCGTGCTTGCTGGCCCGAGGGCGTGATTAACATAGCCGCTTCCTGTGCATACATATAATAGTTCTTTTCATTGGATCATGAGGCATCACGCGGTATTTTCAGTCCTCATACAAAAGATCTTTGTTGTCTCTTGATTGAATTAATTCGAACCTCATGATGGCTGATAGTGGCATATCGGGGTCTGTTCATGATAGAACCCATGCCACACGCACTCATGCAACTCCATACCATCAGAGATGCAGGCTTCTGAACTGAGCGCTGATAACAACTTGGGTTGTCCTTGTCCTCTTTAGTCCGGATGACATGGCGTCCCAGTTTTCCAAAAAGAACTTCAAATTTTGATTTGTCTGACCACAGAACAGTTTTCCACTTTGCCACAGTCCATTTTAAATGAGCCTTGGCCCAGAGAAAACGCCTGCGCTTCTGGATCATGTTTAGATATGGCTTCTTTTTTGACCTATAGAGTTTTAGCCGGCAACGGCGAATGGCACGGTGGATTGTGTTCACCGACAATGTTTTCTGGCAGTATTCCTGAGCCCATGTTGTGATTTCCATTACAGTAGCGTTCCTGTATGTGATGCAGTGCCGTCTGAGGGCCCGAAGATCATGGGCATCCAGTATGGTTTTCCGGCCTTTACCCTTACGCACAGAGATTGTTCCAGATTCTCTGAATCTTTGGATGATATTATGCACTGTAGATGATGATGATAACTTCAAACTCTTTGCAATTTTTCTCTGAGAAACTCCTTTCTGATATTGCTCCACTATTTTTCACGCAGCATTGTGGGAATTGGTGATCCTCTGCCCATCTTGACTTCTGAGAGACACTGCCACTCTGAGAGGCTCTTTTTATACCCAATCATTTTCCGGCCTCTTATTGCTACCTGTCCCAACTTTTTTGGAATGTGTAGCTCTCATGAAATCCAAAATGAGCCAATATTTGGCATGACATTTCAAAATGTCTCACTTTCAACATTTGATATGTGATCTATATTCTATTGTGACTAAAATATAAATTTCTGAGATTTGTAAATAATTCCATTCCTTTTTTACTTACAATTTGTACAGTGTCCCAACTTTTTTGGAATTGGGTTTGTAGTTATTTTCAGTTCAGTTCTTCGAAACAACTTTGCATTTACATCATACAGCCAGCACACTTTTGGATATTAAACTTAGCTGCTTAAGCAGCACGGTGGACACAACATTAGACCTCCATCTGCTACCTCCTGAGTTACTCCGGACCGAGTGAGTCAGTCAGTCTCACAAGAAGTGCTCCTCAACAGTGCCGCAAGCGTAAACAGATGGGGTAAGCGGAGCGGCCTGCGGGCTAGGCTAAAGCTCAACCCACATCGCCCAGCGCAACCTAGTATCTTCCTAGCTAACGTAAGGTCCCTGACAAATAAGATTGACGAACTAAGACTGGATCACTCAGTGAATGTTTTTGGAGTACAGCATTATGGTTCTCACAGAAACTTGGCTCAATAGCACAGTTCCAAACAGCACAAATGAGCTAAAAGGGTGCTACGTCTACAGAGCTGACAGAATGGCTGTGGACTCCGGTAAAAGCAAAGGTGGGGCCACTTGCATCTATGTAAACAGAGCTTGGTGCACCAATTCTGTTATTACTAAATCCCACTGTTCTGCTGATCTTGAAAACCTCTTTATCAAGTGCAGACCATTTTATCTGCCCTGTGAATTCTCATCTACCATAATCCTTGCAGAGTATGTACCCCCGGATGCTAATGCTAAACTAGCTATGAAAGAACTCTCTTCTGCTGTTAGTAAGTTGCAGACAGAGCATCCAGACGGAGCTTTTATCTTAGCTGGTGTTTTCAATCATGCCAATTTGAGGACAGACTCCCCACATTTTATCAAAGTATTTTTTTGCCATACAAAAGAAGACAACACTCTTGATCATGTTTATACAAACATCCCCGATGTATACAAAGCAACTCCCCTCCCACATGTTGGACATTCTGACCACTTATCCCTGTTTCTACTCCCCAATTACACTCCCATCATTAACGAGGACTGTAAAAGTGTGGCTAGAGGAAGCAGGCTCTTTATTACAACGTGAGTTTCAGAACACAGACTGGTATGTGTTTGCTCATCTGGCCACACTGGAATCACACACAGACATTAATATCTACACCAGCTGTGTTCTACACCACATCAACAGGTGTGTCGATAAAGTCAGAAACCTTGGATGAACAAGGTTCCAAGGTCCATAAAAGCATGTGACACAGCTTTCAAATCTGGTGACCGGGAAGCCTACAGTTTATTCAGGGCCAATCTGAAGAGGGGAATTAAAGCTGCTAAACAAGATGAACTGAACATCTTTTATGCTTTTATGCTTGCTTCAATCACCCAACAAAGCTGAGCACCCACCTGTCGACCTGCTGCTCACACTCTCCACCAGTGATGTGTGCTCCATCCTGAGCAGGGTGAAGGCATATAAAGCTACTGGCCCTGATGGCATTCCTAGCTGAGTGCTCAGGGCCTGTGCAGTACAGCTGACTGATGCCTTTTACTAACATTTTCAACCTCTCCCTGGCCCAGGCCATTGTCCCTACTTCCTTCAAAACAACCACCATTGTGCCAATACCAAAATATGGTGCTGCAGTGGCCCTTAATTGCTTCTGCCCTGTCGCTCTCACGCCAATCATAGCAAAATGTTTGAAAGGCTGGTACTCTCCCATCTGAAAATGTGCCTGTCCCCAACACAGGACCCATTTCAGATCACATACAGGTGCATCTCAATAAATTAGAATGTCGTGGAAAAGTTCATTTATTTCAGTAATTCAACTCAAATTGTGAAACTCGTGTATTAAATAAATGTAATGCACACAGACTGAAGTAGTTTAAGACTTTGGTTCTTTTATTTGTGATGATTGTGGCTCACATTTAACAAAAACCCACCAATTTACTATCTCAACAAATTAGAATTAGATTCTCTATGGGGTTCAGGTCTGGTGAGTTTGCTGGCCAGTCAAGCACACCAACACCATGGTCATTTAACCAACTTTTGGCAGTGTGGACAGGTGCCAAATCCTGGTGGAAAATGAAATCAGCATCTTCAAAAAAACTGGTCAGCAGAAGGAAGCATGAAGTGCTCCAAAATTTCTTGGTAAACGAGTGCAGTGACATTGGTTTTCATAAAACACAATGGACCAACACCAGCAGATGACATTGCACCCCAAATCATCACAGACTGTGGAAACTTAACACTGGACTTCAAGCAACTTGTGCTATGAGCTTCTCCACCCTTCCTCTAGACTCTAGGACCTTGGTTTCCAAATGAAATACAAAACTTGCTCTCATCTGAAAAGAGGACTTTGGACCACTGGGCAACAGTCCAGTTCTTCTTCTCCTTAGCCCAGGTAAGACACCTCTGATGTTGTCTGTGGTTCAGGAGTGGCTTAACAAGAGGAATATGACAACTGTAGCCAAATTCCTTGACATGTCTGTGTGTGGTGGCTCTTGATGCCTTGACCCCAGCCTCAGTCCATTCCTTGTGAAGTTCACTCAAATTCTTGAATTGATTTTGCTTGACAATCCTCATAAGGCTGTGGTTCTCTCGGTTGGTTGTGCATCTTTTTCTTTCACACTTTTTCCTTCCACTCAACTTTGTGTTAACATGCTTGGATACAGCACTCTGTGAACAGCCAGCTTCTTTGGCAATTAATGTTTGTGGCTTACCCTCCTTGTGAAGGGTGTCAATGATTGTCTTCTGGACAACTGTCAGATCAGCAGTCTTCCCCATGATTGTGTAGCCTAGTGAACCAAACTGAGAGACCATTTTGAAGGCTCAGGAAACCCGAGCTTCGCTAGAGGGCACTCCATCCCAGACTCCATCCCAGACTTCTGCCACTCCATCAAAGACTTCATTTCATCAACACTCACTATTTGCACCTGTGTCTCATTTACCCTGTCTGCTCACCCTACCTAATTCTGGTTTAGTTTGTTGTTCTTCGTGAAATCTTGTAAGTGTTACACTGCATCTGGGAGAATTTCTCCTGTTTATATGTATCTTGGTTCTTGGACTCTTTGCCTGTGTTCTCTACCTTGTTGTTTAGTCAGACTGATTGCCTGTGTGTTGACCCTTGCCTGCTGTCTGATTTAGATTCTGGACTTTCCTAATAAACACTGCATTTGGATCCTCACTCAGTCTCGGAGCAGTTCCGTAACAGAAGACTTCGCTGATAATGGATCCAGCAGTAAAGATGATGTTTCTCCGCCAAGGTACACGTTCCATTGAGGATTATGTTGTGGATTTTCTTGAACTGGCACACGTGACTCATTTAGATGAAATAAGTGTCATGATATTTTTTCAAGAGGGCCTATCTGAACCTCTCAGTTCAAAGCAGAACTATATGACCCTAACTGGACACTGGAATATTATATTGATGTTGCATTACAGCTGAGTGGCTCTCCTTTTACCATGGGAATTGTAGAGGAGGAGAATGATTCTCCCATAGTAATCTCCACTCCTGAGCCTTGTCACAAAATGGCCGCCAACCCAGAAACTATTCCTCTAGACTCAGTGCTCCCTGTAATGGGGGTCGCTATTGTTGGATTACAAATGTAAGAATCTGTTTAAAATATGCTGATACTATATTCTGACATAGCATCACATGAAAAACTAAGGTGAAGTACATTGTATTTAGCATTTAAGGTAAATTACATCAGACAAATTATTATCTTAAACAAAGTGTAGCGAGAGGTTCCTGTCTGTTCCAGTTACTCTTATTGTTAGTCAAATTAACAAAATTACTGAGAAAATCACCTTTTGTTTGTAATGGCTCTTGGTGCCTCCGCCCCAGTCTTTGAGTAGTTATGCTGATTGGATTAGCACCTATGCATTTGAATGACACTGTTATGCTGATGAGATCAGGGCTGGAGAAATTCCGGTAACGGGCTGATTCCTGTATTGCATTTGCATGCTTTGTTTAGATTGTCGCCACCTCTACTGAATGAATCCCGCCCCCTTAAAATGTATATAAACTCTACTGTGCTGAGCTATAGTCAGACTTGGATAACTGTAGCGACGCACCGCGAGTCCTCAATAAAGAGTGACTTCTGTATGAAAGATATCCCAACATCTCCTGGTTTCTGCTTCGACGAGGAAAAAGTTTCCTACACTATCCTGTGCATTTGGGCTACTCACTGCTCAATTACTCCTCCTGAGACAGCTCCAGCTCCCCCAGAAGTGGCAATTTGGCAATGTGGCATTGGCTGCAGAACCTCCAGAGGTGGTGGCATTTGCTGCAGAACTTCCAGAGGTGGCGCCAGTCACTGCCGAACCTCCCAAAGCGGCAGCGCCCATTTCAGCTCTTCTCAAGGTGTTGGCTTGTGCTGCAGAACCTCCAGAGGCAGCAGCGTCTGCCTTTGAACTTTTAGCCTGTCCTGTCACGGCCAAGGAGGCCATCTGTGAACAGTCTGTCTGTCCAGCCACGGCCCAGGAGGCTGTTTATGAACTCTGTCTGTCTAGCCACGGCCAAGGAGGCCGTATGTGAACTCTCTGTCTGTCCAGCCACGGCCAAGGAGGCCGTTTGTGAACTCTCTACCTCTCCTGTCATGGCTATGGAGGCCGTATGTGAACGCTCTGCCTGTTCTATTCTGCCAATGGAGGCCGTATGTGAACTCTCTGCATGTCCTGTCATGGCTATGGAGGCAGTTTCAAAACTATTTACCTGCTCTGCTACGCTGAATGAGCATTGTTATGAACTTGTCCAACCAAACCTCCCTCTCCCTTCTCCTCTACCTGTCATGCTGTTTGTTCTGTCTCCACTTTTGTCTGTCTGTTCCTCAGGTCATCCTTTAAGGGTGGTGAATGGTCAGGATTCGCCTCGGGCCAGCCAGCCTCCAGCTACACCAGGATTGGAGGATCCCAGATCTCCGTCTCCGGCCTTCGAGACATGGATTCCACTTCGGTCCGTTGACCCTTTGGTGTCGTCTTGGCTCAAAGCTCCCTCATCTCCACTGAGGCCCATCAGTCCACCGGCTCCACCGGGCTTCCTCATTCCTCCGGCTCCACCTTGGTCATTCGTCGACCCGCCTTCGCCTCAGTACTACACTCCTCTGGCTTCACCTCGTCCGTTGGGCTCCTCTCTCCCTCCGGCTCTGCCTTGGTCCTCGGTCGCTCCGGCTCCACTGCGGCCTTCCGGATCCCCACCTGCGCCTAGGTCGCCAGAGCCGTCGGCTCCACCATAGCCCTCCGATCCCTCAGTGTCACCCCGGCCCTTCGGCTCTGTCTCTGCCTTGGGCTCCCCTTCCACCGGCTCCATCTCCGTCAGTCGGACCCCTGATACCTCCAGTGTCACCGTCATGGTTCCTCCCTCCGTCAGCTCCACCATGGACTGATAGTGGAGCGTCTGGAAGCCGCTACTTAAGGGGGGGGCCCTGTCATGATCTCTAGCTGGAGTGCCCGTGAGCTTCACTCCATCAAAGACTTCATTTCCCATAATCCTTTGCCCGGACTCATCAACACTCACTATTTGCACCTGTGTCTCATTTACCCTGTCTGCTCACCCTACATAAGTCTGGTTTAGTTTGTCATTCTTTGCGAAGTCTTGTAAGTGTTACACTGCATTTCTCCTGTTTATATGTTTCTTGGTTCTTGGACTCTTTGCCTGTGTTCTCTGCCTTGTTGTTTAGTCAGACTGATTGCCTGTGTTTTGACCTTGCCTGCTGTCTAATTTTGATTCTGGACTTTCCTAATAAACACTGCATTTGGATCCTCACTCAGTCTCGGAGCAGTTCCGTAATAGGTGTGACTAGTTTCAAATTCCTGGGTGTCCATATCTCTGAGGATCTTTCCTGGACCCTCAACACCACCACTCATCAACAGCACCTTTACTTCCTTAGGAAGCTAAGGAAAGCTCACCTGTCCCCCCACATCCTGCTAAACTTTTATCAATGCACAGTTGGAAACATTTTAACAAATTGCATTACAGTGTGGTATGACAACTGCACTGTCTCAGACCAGAAGGCCCTCCAATAGGTTGTTAAAGTGGCCCATCACATCACTGGTGATCAGCTACCCTCCATCCCAGTGTTGGGGAGTAACTAGCTACAAGTAGCGATGCTTCTAACGTAACTACATTTTTCAGTAGCTTTACAGTAGCGACTCTACTTTTAAAACAGTGTAGCTTTTCCTGTAGCTAACTACTTTTTCCAGCAAGTAGCTATGTAGCCCGACCAAATGCTACATTCCGTTTTGCGTTCAGATGAGCTACGAGCCTATAATGCATTGCACGCAGCGTCGTCTTCTGACTAGATCACAAACTACATTTGATCCATTTGATACCGCCATCTGTTGTAATATCAGGCATCGCGCGGCTTTACAGTCTTTCTACCGACAAGAGATCATCTGAAGATATTGCAAAGGATGTACAGGAGTGGATATTTCACAGGAATCAACTGTAATTTACGCAAAACAAAGATTAAAATGTGGTCTACGTCGAAGATTAAAGCACATACAGAGGTGAATAATAGCCTTTATAAACTGATTCATTTTTCTTTATTGCACTCTAGATCAAATGTCTATTTTACAATGATGAAC